TGATAGTTCAAAAGAAGTAACTCATTCAACTGCGTTCCAAATATGCTGACATTTCAATTTACAAAGTGTCAGGTTTATTTATTATTTCTAAAATAACAAAAAAAAAAAAAAAAAATCACTCTTTATTTTCTGTTTTCTTTTAAATATAAAAGCAATCATTTGAGCCATGATTTTTCATTCTACTTTATTCACTGTATATTTTCTTGCCTTTTTTTTTTCTTGCATATTTTATGATGTCAATAAAAACCTCAATGCATAAATAAACTGCAAGATCACATTCCTGACTCGTTAGAGTCCACACTGTTCATCAATGGCTTGCATCCGGCTTTTTTCATTTCTTTGTCGTTAAAGTGAGAGAAGAAAAAGGGTATAAATAAAATTTCAAACAACTAAAATGATTGTTCAGACTTCTGGAATGAGGAGTTATCATTACTTAAACTATTTACATTCACACTATTGTCCTCATCTTTGTGGTCATTATCACAATGTTTCAGTTGTTGATTTCTTCTTGCTTGACTAGGTGCATATCAATACGTCCTACTGTTATGTTTTATTCAGGATTCCTTGTATATTACCTGGATTGATATACAGCAGATTGATTGATTTGTATTTTATGGCTTATCAACCCTTTGCAGGTTATTTAAAGCCAGAAAATATTTCTAGATTGTAAGAGATTTTTTTTCCTTTTTTTTTGTAGAAAATAATGATTTAGTGATGCTGAGTATACCATAGACTGAACATGTGAGTAACAACTAAGTTTTGGAGAAAATGGAAACAAAAAGGAAACTTATACTTAACATCAGAAAAGGACAGTTGAGGTTTATAGGGCACACAATGAGGAAAGAAGGTTTGGAAAATTTGATACTCATGGGACAGATTGAGGGCAAGAGGGACAGAGGAAAAAAAATGCATAACATACTTAGTGAGCTTGAGTAAATAAATGGCTGAACAGAGCTTAGGATAAATAACAGAAAGACAAAGTTTATTAAGAGCTACAAGGAACAGAAAATTGTGGGGAGCCATGATCGCCTATGTCCTGAGGGGACATAAAGACCAAGATACAAGTTATAACTAATTAACCTATAGCTGGAGGAAGAAGAGGAGGATTCTTACCTTTCCCAAGGGTTTTTGCATGCAAGTGAATATTACAAATCCAATTGGAATTTGAACTCTGCTCTCTGATTAAAATTTTGAGCCATTATTCATTGCACCACCCACACTTTAAGGTTTACTGCACCTGGTAAACCCAAGTAGTCTTCTATCAAGTTACTGACCAGGCTCTATGTTGCTTAACTTTGGTGATTATATGGGAACAGGTGTTTCAATGCAATGTGGCGCATAGGCCTGATATACACCAAATGAAGAACAAAGTCACATCTTTGATGTTGTTATCACAAAAATAAAGACAATAATCCAAATGTAAATAGTGTAAATAAATTCTAATAATAAATACCTTCAAATATGCACACACTTATATATAAAGATAATGCTCGCTTTTCAAATGTTAGCATTATTTTGCTGTTAAGGAGCAACATTAATCCAAGGTTTGATTTGGTTTACGATATATCAACCTCAATGGGTTATTTAATGCTGACAAGATTTTTATTGCTGGTAATATTTATTTTTTTCAAAATGAATTGCAAGTAAATTTTTTTTCTTCATAAATGTATAGATTGTATTAAAATCTATTTTTACACTTTCATTGTGTTTAGTGAAGACACTGTTTTTGTGAGCTGGCTCCTAACTAGGTGCTTCACTAGGGCCTTGTGTCAGACTTAGTTGTGTAGGCATCAATACACACATTTATAAACATAAAAATTAATGTTGTATAGTGACTACCATTTTCCTACTCCAATTGCTTTTCAGAGCATGTGTCACTACTTTTTGTGTGGGAAGTATATATAGGTCACTGGGAAATTATGGAAAGTGGAGCAGGGAAAATCTGGTTTTTAAGTTTTTTGTTTAGAACTAATATTTGAGGTTACTTATAGTTTGATCTTAAGTTAACTTATTTTAATATTTATTTTTGTTGCATTTTATTTATGTAATTATTTAAAAACATATTTCACTTATTAAATCAATTTAGGAAAAAAAAATTGTGTACATTATTCACTTGTAAATTTTGTTATTTTAAATAAAATTTCTTTGAATTAGATTATGGAATGTTATTTAGTCTTTTTAAAAGTGATGTAGTTGTAGATAGCCTAAAAGGAATTTGTTTTTATAGCTGCATTTGAAAAAAAGCTCTAATTTTTTCTTTAGGAATATTACTATTTTCTTCTCCAAGAAATGGTTGCTTGCTTTAAGCTGGTGAAGATTTTGGTATTTTCTTTGTTATTGTTGACATGTTTTTTAGTTTCCACACGTTTTAGAGGGTTGTTCTATTTGCACCTTTTTTGTTGTTAAATGACATTTCTACTATTACTTTGATATTTATTAAGGATGTTATTAAAAACTAGCTTTAAACTAGTGGCATTGATGCTTTTATCAAAACCTGATCTGTGTTTGACAAAAAATAGCAAATGATGGTTGTAAGGTTTTTGAGGAAAAGAGGATTGAATGAGCAATCTTAAATCAGGCTCCAAGAAAGCAAGACATGATCTCATACCAGATAAATTTCAGTCTGAGAACACATTCAACACCTTTAATAGGGTCTTATTATCCATAGAAGGACTTGCTAGTCACTTAAGATCTCATGATGGTAAGCAATTCCAAGCTTCTGATTATGTATGAATCATCTTCTCCCCCTACATATGGGTTAATTATTAAGACTTGTATAACTAAACCATTATTATCTAAAAAAAAAAAAAAAAACTTCTCACACTTTAAAAATATTTTCTGGCTTTAAATAACCTGCAGAGGGTTGATAAGCCATAAAAACAAGTCAATAAATCAATCATGATAATTTGATTTTATCTACAAGGGTAGAGGGTTCTTCTTCTGCTGACCATGTTTAGGGATATCTTTCTAATTTTTCAGTACAGTTCTCTTATTGGTATCCTGTTTCTACTAAGTCTCTACTACTTAGCCAAAGGATTCAACTCAATTACTACAACACCGCATTCACAAACTTGCACTTCCTGTCTGTGGAACTCCCTTCCTCTTACTTGCTTTGCTGAGAGCTATAATCTTCAACTATTCAAATGTCAATTGACATCTCCAGATGCCTTAATCTATTCCCCGTCCTTCTCTTCATCCTTTACTCACTCACACCTCTTTACTCTTGCTCCCAATCTCTGTAACCTATTGTGTGCTAGTGGCACTCCCGCCTTACTTAAAAAGCTTAAAAAAAAAAACAACTAATCTTTCAATTCACTAGATTATTGTCCCATAGATTAAATAAAGGGTTCAGTTCAATTTCCTGAATGTTACCCAGATCAACAAGCATCTGATGAAGGCTGAAGGATACAATAATTAAATCTCGGGATAATAACAGAGATGAGGATAATAGACAAAATGTAAATAATAATAATAATAATACTAAATCCTCATTTCAGAAACTCAGACACAACAAGAAAGAGATGGTGCTCCAAGCTGAGCTGGTAACAGACAGTAGTTAAAAGAAGGTAGAACAATATCTGAGGACTGTGTAAACAGTGGAACATATTGAGGACTTCAAGTGTCGTTCAAGGAATACAAGAATATCAGAGTTTTTCTTCTTATTTACTTTCATAAATCCAACTATTCTGGTTTGGTTTGTTTCGTTTTATGACATATCAACACCTCAATGGGTTTTTTTTTTAATGGCGAGAAGATATTTAGGATATGTTCGTATGAATAAAATACGTATCCTTTGTAAGAAACCAGTTTGTAGATCAGGTTTCATTGACACATTTTTGTAAAAAGGGGTTTTGTCGAGAGTCAAATTTATTGTTGGCAATATTTTTTTTTTTTTTTAAATGTATTGCTGGTAATATTTTTTTTCAAAAATTTATTGCTGCTAACATTTTCTTTTTTCAAAAATGTATTGCTGGTATTTTTACTATAAAAATCTATTTTTATACTTTCATAGAATTTTGACCCTAGTTTGGGAGTGAAATATTTGCCCAGAGCTGGGACCCTAACAGGTGCTATCACCCCAGATCAGGGTGGAGATGGAAACAACAGCAATTAAGAGGTGGTTCTACACTCTTCAAAACCTCCCAATTAGAGGCCTTGCTACTGGATGTAGTTTATCGTCATAGCCAGGATGCCTCATTTGGGGGCGGGGGTTTACCCCTCTTTAGAAGTACAGTTGGTGTATTCTGAAGCCCCAGTTGATAGGACAGCCAAATATCCTGACCCTGGCACAGTGAGAATATACATATACATACATATATAGACAACATATTTCTAAAAGGGTTAATATTTGCATAAATTAAATGCAATTATGATGAACCATCTTGAAATGAAAGCTGTTGAGAGTACTGCAAGTCTGATTGTTTTAATTTTTACAGCTTATCAACCTTAAGCCAGAAAAATCTTTTAAATTGTAACAATTTTATTTTTCAGATATTAATGATGTACTGATACAAGGCCTACTAATTAACCCATATCTGGGGAGAGAAGGGATGGATTCATACCTTTCCCAAGGGTATTTGTGCATAAGTGAATATAATGATAATGGGAGGCACAGTGGAGTAATTGGTAGCAGCTTGGATTGAGGAATTGTAGAGCTGAGTTTGAATTCAATTCGAATCCATTATATTCACTTACATGCTTATACCTTGGGAAAGGTGTGAATCCTCTTCTTCTCCTCCCAGCTATGGGTAAATAACAGGACAGACCAGGTTCTATAGCCTTGGATGGCAAATGGTCTACCGCGGAAAGAAATGGCAACCTATGCAGGAAAAAAATCTGCCTTGTCAGTCATGTATCAAAAGATACATGATCGCCTAAGCATGTATCACGCATGGCACATAACTGACTGACTCAATATAATAAACCTGACCAGAATTGGAACTTTGCTCTCCAATTTCCAATTCTGAGATGTTATCCATTACACCACTGACACATCCAAGCTTACAACACCTGGCATTTCCAAGTGGTCACCCATCTAGGTACTAACCAGGCTTGATATTGCTTAACTTTGGTGTTTGTATGAGTACCAATGCTTTAATGTGATGTGGCTGTAAACTAGTACTGCAAGTTGCAGAATACAGTTAAAATACATTTTGTCAGTAAGGAGGAGATATTTGCTAAGTTTAACCTAGTTTGGCACAAGGCTGTCAGAATTGAGCATTTTTGCATCTAAAGTCCTTTCTCTAAATTCTTTATGATGTGAGTTTCTAAATTGGCTTCATAAAGAATCAGATTTAGTCAGAGCATTGGAAATTTGGAAGTGGCAAAAAAATTTCAGAAGCCAGGAATCATGATGAAAAGCCAGAAACAGCAATTTGGTAGGCATTAATGAATCACTTTCACACTTGTCAGGCTCATTAACCTTCTATTCTTGCAAAATTCCTCTTATAAACCATTTACCTGAGGCATATCTGACAGATCCAACCACCACCCACTCACCATTCTATACAGAACTGATAATCAATCAGTGGAAATGGCTAACAGAATTGGTAAAGATTTCCAGCAAACCCTGGAATGAATATGGCAGCTGCTCTTTTATTCAACCAGCAAATGCTGTCACAAATGATATAGCAGAAATCTGAAAGAATGGATACAGAGAAGAGTGGCAGGGTGCTGGGCATGGAGAAAATACCAGGTGGGGGTAGGAACCTTGTGTACACATTAAAGATCATCATTATTAAACAATTAAAGTTACTACAGCCATAGGAGAATAAAAACAAAACTAGTTTGTATAAATCACTTTGAGCAGATGGTGGAGTTGATTAGGATAACAAAATGAAATAACTTATTTTGTTATTGCAATTAATTCTGAGGTAAAATCCATGCAAGGTTAATTATCAAAATTATCAAGCAAAGGACTTTAAAAAAAACAAGACAAAAAAAAAAAAAGGAAATAATGTCGATAATTTTGACAAGAGTCTGTAGCGAAGAAAATCGTAGTTTATCTTTTTGACTGAAATACACCCATTTTGTGTATATTCTCCGCTGAAAATGACTGAAAACCCAAACCTTGTTTCTAACTCTTTTTCATGCAGAGCTCAGCAACTTATGCAAATTTGTATTTGACTAATCATGCATCACTTGAGTTTATATCAGCTCCTGCTTTTAAGAGGCAAAAAAAAAAAAAGGAAGAAATTTCTAATTTTGCTGCTTGTTCGTGACATGGCACTTGATTCTTCTATGATCTGTGATTTTGGACGACATGCACATGTCGTTCTGCTATAGACTCATTACATTCATAAATTTTGAGAAGAATCCTCCTATAAATTTTGAGAAGAATCCCCCTATAAATTTTGAGAAGAATCCTCCTATAAATTTTGAGAAGAAAACTAATCAATCCAAGTGTTATGCTGATGACTGCCTTCTACAGCCTTCTTTATGGTAGACAAGTTCTATAAATTTTGAAAAGAAGTCATTATCATTCCAAAAGTTATTCATTTCTGACTATGACATTTGCTGATACTTTTATAGTTGCAACTCAAAATAATTTTTGCTTAAGCTGCCAATCTATGGCAATAAGTACCTATCAGAAATAAAGGATAAACACTCACTATTTACATTATTCAGACTATTGTCCTCATTTTTGTCAACATATTTATTACAACGTTTCAGCTGTTGTATGCTGCGGCCTTCTTCAGGTGGTTGGAATGTCAAACTAAACCCTTTATTTCACTAGTTTTCTAGTTCTACATGCCATGTTTTCTCTGGCACTCCTTATTACTGGTTCCATGAACCAATAATAAGGAGTGCTAGAGAAAAGCGATAAAAACAAAAAATTGCAATATGAGCTATGGTAAAAACATGCAATAATAACAGTTAAAATTGCAATATGAGCACTGGTAAAAATCATTGCTGAAATATTAGGTTTATAATACCCAGAAATTCATACACAGATGGCACAGTGGATAAAGGTGTTTGTTAGAATCAGTGACACCCAAAGAGTGTGAGTTCAATACCCGGTTAAGGCAGTGGAAAACTTGGAGAGGGGAATTAACAGGAGATAACTGATAACTGACATCCATTAAACATGGCATGTGGAACTAGAACAGTCTACCCCAGTGAGCGAAATAAAGGATTCAGTTCGACATTCCAACCACCTGAAGAAGGCCGGAGTGTACAACAGCCGAAATGTTGTAATAAATATGGCAACAAAGATGAGTGTACGTAATACCTCATCTCAGAAATATAGACTGATAAACACTCAGTTGATAATTAAGTTCATTTTCCTTTTACCTGAGGGTAAAATATAATTAAGTCTCAACTGATTTAACCACTATGCTTTACCGACATTTGATGCCTATGCAGTAGATTGAATCTCAACTTTTAAACCCATTATTTTATTCCAGAATCTTTACCAATGCTATATTTGATTTTGTTTTATAATAATACTGTTTGTAGAAGGATTATTATTCATGTTTGATTTGATATGACATGAAGCAATGTCACATTATTATTAATTCTTATTTATTTTCATCTTGATTTTTATTAGTGACTGCTTGGGAATATCAGGTGCTGTAAGGTTGGAGTGTGGGTAGTGCAATCAATAATGGTTTGGAATTTATAATCAGGGAGTTCAGTTCCAATTCCTGTTGGGTTTGTTATATTCACTTACACACAAATCCCCTAAGAAAAGGTAAGAATCCAACTCTTTTTCATTAAACCATTATTATATCAAAAAAAAATTCTTATAATCTAAAAAAAAATTTCTGGCTTTAAATAACCTACAAAAAGTTGATAAACTGTAAAAAAAATTAATCAATCATTTTTTATTAATGTATATACCTGTGGATAGGTCGCCCCACCAGATAGGTGACACTCCTACTTTATGGCTTAATAAATGATGATTTGTTGACTTTGCAGATAGGTTGCACTATAACCTGGGGAGTTACACAGCTCTTTTTAAACAGAAGAATTATCAGATATCTAACTTAACAATTAACAATATTATAAACTATAATTTTGGATACCAACTATATCTCTGCACAATGCAAGGCAAACATTTTGGTTACTAGATTCATGTGCTCTGTTATTTGTAAATAACACTTAAGGATGCTTTTTAGTGTTATATGAAACAACCATTAAAGAAAATTATCTCATAAAAATATATATTTCATTTCTTTATGTCATATTTTCCAATGTATTTTTGACAAAATACATATATATATATATATATATATATATATATATATATATATTGCAGAATGAATTGTTGGACTATTTTTTTTTTTAACAATACACATCTACATGTGGTTCATTAACTTACATATTCATGTTCGGGGTTTCTATATCAGTCTAGTGCGAGGACCATGACAGAACGGTTATATGTTATAATTTTACTTATTTATTGCGATGAATATGTGAATCTAGCAGTATGAGGTAAGTTTAAAGCAGTGAGTCAGTATATATGATAGATAAATTGTTTTTATATGGAGAAAAAACACTGCTTTAGTGTTTATGGGTATCATTTCTGACTTCATCATGAGAAATCATGATGACGAGTTAGTGTTATTTTACATTTATGTTGAGCAGATAGGTCGCACCCCTAATATTTTGTGAAATTTTGGGTAAAAAAAGTGTGACCTATGTGTGAGTATATATGGTAGCTGTAGGAATTGTTGACCATTATTATTAATTTTGAAGAGTAATTACTTTCATCTTCATTTTTTTATTAAACGAAGCATAGTCAACAATGATTATTAATTTCTTTTACTAGTATTTACTTTCATCTTCATGTTGTGAGATGACAGTATCAACTATTTTCATTTTTTACTAATATACTAATTACTAATAATACTTTAATCTTCATTTTTTTAATTAGATGAATCATTGTCAAATATTATTAATAATTTTTGACTCATATTAACTTTCATCTTCAATTTGTTAAAATAAAGCACCTTAAACGATTATTAACAATTTTCAGGAGAAACTACTTCCTGATATACATGCTTTAACCACTCGGCCACAAAGAGCTTCACAATCAAGCAAGGTTCTATTTGTCTTTAAAGCGCATTCACATGCTTGGATTCTCTCAAAAGACATGTCTGCTCAGTTTCAGATCCTAAACATAAACAAAGAAATTTCTAAACAATTGACGGATTTATTGTGTAACCCAACAGATTTCTCTTGCAGGTTCAAATCCTACCAGAGAGCTTGTTTCCTTGAGTATACAGACCAGAAGATGAAATAAATACTGTTTAAAATAAATGGTGTCGCTATGTAAATACATGCATTCACTAAAAATAACATTTGAATGAATATATATATATATATATATATATATTTTGAGAGAGAGGGTGGGAGGAACAAATATTTGTACACATAAATTTGTAATTTATTGTATTTCCCACTAATGAATAAACATACTTTTCATATAATTAAATGTACACAGATGCATAATAACTAAATATGCATAGAAAACAGAAAAAATGATCTTATATATATATATATATATATATATATACACACACACAGGTGATGTAATGGTTAGCAAGCTAATGACTGAGTAGTGAGTTTCATCCTCACTGAGTGCCCCATACTTTCAGTCTTGTGCCTCATCTAATCAACACTTGGAAAACACTATATATATATAAGTGAACATTGAAGTCAACACTTAGAGGAAACAGGCTGTTTCATGCTAGATGCACAACAAAACAACACTGTTGGCCTGGCGATTGCGTCGAGCATGAAACAGCCTGTCGCATCTTCAATGTTCACTTTTATATTCACACACGCTCTATCTCTGATATTGAGCACTTTATCCCATAAATATAGCAAACCTTAAGAGTATATTTCTTCACATATATATATATATATATATATATATATATATATATATAAAATCGACTCTCCTGTCGAGACTCGATGTATGAGGGTCAAGCAGATCAGTTTCCAGGAAACCGACAGCCCGACACCGGCACATGAGATTTGATTATAGTGGTGAAGGCTCCGTGCAGAACCATCCACACTTTCCCTTGGGAAAGCTATGAATCCTCTTCCTCTCCCTCCAGCTATGGGTAAAATAGCAGGACAAACTGGGTTCTATAGCCT